CACCCCCCACCTCCTCTTCACAAGGTTGCTAGGGTAATTTTGGAGCTGTTGGGAGACCAGTAGATGAATTGGAAACCTCCTTAAAGGCTCATGGGATCATTGAACTACAATAAGCATCGCATATCATCATTGTTAAGGCTTATAGACACCATCATTGAATACCATACATCAGCAGCTTTAAAACCTCTAAGGAACCTTTGAAATCAAAAATTTTGCCCCGCCTCTGTTTCATTGTTAAGCTGTTCACCAATTGTTGCTCCAAGCTAAATACAACCACAATAGAACCACTAACCATCACCATTAATTCCACAGAATGAGAGGAAAAGTGGAAGAAGAAGAAGAAGAAAAAGGTGGTGAGATTGTTTTAAATATTTCAAATCCAATGTCTCAATTCCAGTCATTCAAAATTATTATGTTGGAATAGCACTTTTTATATTTGTTTTAGATAAAACTATTAGCGTCCAATGTTAACATACTTGGGATTAGAAATTTCTCAAAATCTTAGTAAAACTCATGCTCAACTGATATATAAACTTCTGAAACCTTAGAACAATTTGGCATAAAGATCAGGGTGTGACATGTCACTCTGTACCTAGTTATTCCCAGAGCACAAAACATTAGATGGAAAACCGATGTAATAAGATAAATAAAATCGCAAAACTTTCATGTGTTTCTTGAAAAGACAATAATATAACACCAATTCAAGGCTCAGAATCATAAGGATGCAAGTTACCAACAATCCAACACATACATGCTAAAATATTAATAGCTTGATTTACCTCCTTTAATAGATGAGAATCAGACCAATTTAAGCAAACTGGATTGATCTTTTTCCGTTTTGCAGAATTCATAGCCTTGCAATGATTAGATTCCACGTTCCTTTCTCCAAAAAAGGGACATCTTTTCTTGGAGTTGCCTTCAAGAATGGCAGGCAATTCCCATGATATTGGTCCAACTTCTTGCCCACTGCTACAAAAGAAGCAATTAAAGCACAACTATTGGCAAAAAAACCCAAACCCATATTTATCAAAAAATATAATCCAATTTGGCCTACTTATAAAGCAAGAAGATTAAAATTCATGAGCAGAACTGAGACAGTTAAAGTTGATGCACGCTCATTATAAGTGCATGCATCCAACTTGTTATCATTTGCCTACAGTTCACGCTTGAAAAAAGAACTTCTTAAGTATGCTCCACCTCTTTGATCATAGATGGCTTAGAAATGAAGCTATTATTTCTGAATTGATTGCGTCACATCATACACAGGCTTCTTCTTAGAAATTTACTGTAGAACACTCAGAACGATGAACAAACTATTGAAATTCGCTTTGCAAAGTGGGCATATTTTTCCACATGATGCCTACAAATCTTATTCCATATATTATAACAGTAATCCATGTCTTGTTTCTTATATGGCAACATACAAAAGTCCCAAAACATCACAGTTTACATGGAAGTAGGTGAACCCAATAAAGGAGAGCATGGAGGCCATACAATACAAGAGGGGAACATAACTAGTCTCGGAAAATAGATATATGTAATTTCACACATAAATAGACAAGCACATGCATATTGCTAATATAATTAAATGTACAAGCATCCAACTAGTTTTAGCACATGCATACAAACACAACTAATATAACATTAAAGGAAAGTGGGTCAGGAAACACACAATTTTAGCATGATTCTGAACATGCAAGTATTAATTTGAACCTAAACTTCTTTCTAGCATTCTTTCACTTTCATTCCATCTACCATGGTCGAAGTGAATGTTAAAATATTGTGTTTTGCCATTAGAAAAAAAAACTATTGTTTATCTCGTCATATCGCTCACTAACTACTCACACAAAGAGCGAGTTTCATATTAATCCATCATTCAATTCAAAGTATCTTTGATATTAACCGAGAGATCTTCATCATCCTCAAAACTTTCACGCAAAATGATGAAATAGAGGCATATGCCTCATCACATGCGCTTCACGGCACACTTTATTATGTTCCTCAAATAATTGAGATGTAGGCTTGTTTCTCCCACTGAGGTATAAGTCTCAAGGTGCTCAACATGTGCCTCGCCCCGACGCAAGCCTCATATTGCGTAATTTTAAACAAGGCTACTTATTGAAATAAAAAAGAGCAGAATCATAGACAAGAACTTGATTCAAATTTGGGCACAAACTTGTAGCCACATATTAGCTATATTTCGAGTAGGAGGTTACATTTAACTTCGAAATGGCCATCTTCACCTTCAATCTCTAGATTGGGATTTAAGTAAGAAATTTGTTGGCTAAATGACCTATAATAAGAAAAACTAAACTATAATTGTGTGCATTAAATTGAGAAAGATTTTCACATCAAACTAATTAGAACATCTACGATTGAAAAGATCCAAGTACTTATTTGACACCCTTTAACTTCAATATTAGCAATATAAGTTGCCATTTTTTAGTAAAGACCAGATAAATGAGACAAAAGTAGGCATTTTAAGATGAAAATTCATAAATAAACAAAAGGGTGAAAAAAGGGAATCTAAAGCCACTAATCTCTTTACCGCGCCATCTTTTTCTGCAAAATTCATAACATCAAGCCAGCGTAATATTATTCAAGTTAGTTGTGTACTTGTGTCACACAAAGTAAAACTCTAAATAACAAAGCATTGAGGTTTATTTAGTGCTAACTCCATCTGAAACAACAAGGTGGTTATGTCTCTCAATTGACTTCCTGTTTTTCTCTTTTACCTACCACTTCATGCCAACCACCTTGCAGACAAATCAAAAGTATGAGCAATTAAATATTTGTAATAAATTAGAATTCTGAACAGAGAATCTATCAATGTATGTGCATCTTAGAGCACAAAAAGAAAAATGATTCCAAGCAATTCTTCAAGTGCCAATAAACACAAGCAGTTAAGTTGCAGTAGCTAAAATCAAATGAGCAATTAAAGATACCTCTGCATGGTGTAAGGACCTTCTGGAAGACGCCTTCCTTCTTTCAAACAATCTTCGAACCAACAATGGCTGATTATGTGTGTTCCAAGTTTTCGTGCCAAATCATATTTCCTTCCCTCGAACTGCCAGCAGACCTGTCTACCCAACACTATCAGATAATCAAAGCCCACATATCAAAACATTAATAAGCAGGCTGATTAAAGGTTTACTTATCATTTGCTTGCTAAAGTTTTGAATATTAAAACAACTAATAACCAAGAGTTGAAACTAACCAGATGAGTAACGGACCTATCCATAGCGCCAACATAATTAGCACCAGTACACGCAATAAGCTTAATTACTTTAAATCTCTCAGTACCATGATAACCACTAACAGTGGCAATCACAGACTCCATGCCCAAAATCGGGTGAATTCTGGAATCTGCAATGTTAACAAAACAGTACATAACAAAATGATGATATACTGACCAAATATAAGCATAAAATAGAAAAAAGATGTAAACTAGGGCAAAAAATGTATAATGAATCGTATTGGTGGATTGTAGGTGCATTGGTACTGCAACTTAGCATAATGTAGATAACATTACAACATAAACATAGGAACATAATCCATTTCTTTGAAAACTGTGACTACATTTAGATGTACCAAATAAGCTCATTTCTCCATAACCCACTTCACCCTCACAAAACCCATATATTAGCTGATCCATAATGCACACGTGTTAAAGTTGAAAGGGATACCAAAACTGATGAGGCTTGACCCCACATACAAAATCCCAGAGACACACTTGAGCATGCATTATAGAAAAAATGAGGCATAGAGAGACTAGAAAGAAAACCCTATTTCCATCGAAGTTGATCGAAGGAATATAAGGAAGAAAGGAAATCTTATGCTACGTTGCTGGAATCATCTTGGTCTAATCAGTGATCCATGGTGCAGGTTAGGGTTTCTGTTTGCTTGGGCTAGAAGACTTCTAGATTTCTAAAACAGAAGACAAAATGGCATGTGATAGTTCTACTTTTGAGTTTTTTTATGAGTCAACAGGGTTCCGAGTATTTCTCGCGAAGAAATTTTTGGTGGATTTTAAAAGAGAATTTGAGGTAAAATATATAGTCAATTAACTTTTAGGGATTTACCTATCTATCCTTTTAAATTCAATAATTTGCATATTTAGCGTGTGCACTTAATTATTTATTCATATAAATTTAAATTTTTTAAATATAGAAATAGCACATAAACTCATTATCTCTCATACCTTTCACACCGTTGGACCCATCACCCTCCAAGCTCCAGCATGATCTCGTTGTTTTTCACACAGCACCAGTCTCTACATCCTTCTCCACACACCTTTAGCCCATCCCTAGCTAAACACAATCACGAGATTCGCATGTCTCACAATTGATTATGCTAACTCCATTAATAGAGTGATGTAACATGTAAATAATTAAGTTTAAGTGCTCAATAAAAAAATTATGAAGTTAAGGGGGTTATGTGTGTAATAGAACTTAAACACTACATGGACCTATCGTTATTAGGTGTTTTAAACACATAGTAAGAAATGACATCCAAAATAAAATTAAATCGAAAACCTTTTGCATGAACAACCTTAGTGCAAGAAATATCACCCAAGTTTTATTAATGCATCATATCTGCGTTTTGGTTAGCTTGGTATCAAATACAACCATTAAAACCTAGCACATCTAAATCTCTTGAGTCAATCTTGGGCTAGGTTATTCAATCTATTCAACTTATGAACACTATTTGTCAAGCTCTAGCTTGACCTTTGATTTAGATGTATTGGGACCACCTTATTGATAAATTAAGTTTTAATAAAACCCTTGGGATCCTATTAATCAATTTAAGGTCAACTAAAACAAAGCCCTAATTATGTTAGCCTATATTTAGCTTAGGATTTAATTTGGCTAATTCATGAAATATCACTCTTCATCATCCCATTAGCTGGACTCACTTTAGAGCCTAGATTTGAAAATTGGTAAAACTAAGCCCAACTTCACCTAAACCTTGACCCAAAATACCTTAAATTGAGCCAATGGATCAATTAAAACCTAATCCACTCAATTTCAATTCTAAGAGGTCAAAAAGGTCTTAACTAACCTAAAATAGAAATATAATGGCCTATCCTACCTTCAAATCAAGCTAGCCAAAATGACCTAATTAGGCCTAAAAAAATCCATACCAAATCTACACCTAATTGGACCCAACCCTCAACCAATTGAATTTCACTAAGCTTAACCCCCAAGTCAAGGCAAACTAACCCTAATTAGACCAAACAACTCTAGTTAGTTTAGGCATAATAAGCCAAATTACTTCTCCCTAAGAATGACCTACTCCTTTCTTGCTATCTATAATGACAACAGTCCAATAGATCATTACTAATTATTGAACTATGCGTAATAGGTTTCCATATGGAGAAATGGGTATGGAAAGAAAGGGAAATAAATGAAAACAAGCCAAAGGATCGATTGACTTGGCCATTCGATAAGTAGCCTTCTTTCACCTTATATGCAGCTCCTCCATTGCCTCCATTTCAAACCCCCATGACCACCAAACTCCCTTCAAGTTCATCAGAGCCTAGTGTTTAAACTCAACCAACCCATTCCAAGTAAAATGAAAGCTTGCCCCATTCCAAGTAAAATGAAAGCTTGCTAAGTTTTCATGAACTCCCTTAGGATGGCCAACAATCCAAGCTGAGGCATAATTCCCACTAGATCCTATTTATGGATTCAAACATTAGATCCATTTATTACTGTGGTAGTTGCATGCATCCAATGCACATTCATTATTAATATAATTAACATTTGATTCACGTGGATTTCCTGATGGATTGTACCATTTAAATCGTTGAAATTCATTAATATATCATTGTGAAAGAATCAAATTAAGGATAGGGTTCACTGTAGTTAGTCATGCTGGGACAATGGCTCCAAGGTATCTCATTATGTGTGTTTTGATTCCAATGAATCTGAAGGAGGATGGCTCATTCTTTACTTCTGTGTTTTCAACTCATCAATTCTAGATATTCTTAATCCTAATGCATAATGTTATTTAGAACCACCTACCAGCAGCCAGATTTTAGAACATGGGTACAGGAATATTAAGAATCAAGTTACAATAAATGTTTAGAGGTACAAAAATCCACTTTCGTTTCAAGATCAACATAAGTCAAAGAATTTCAAGGCTGTCATCATCTACCTTACAAGATAACTTAGTCAACAGCTTAATAATACCAAAACCAGACCAGTTATCAATATAATTCTTAAAATGCTATGACAGTTAAGGGTCCAAATACAGTATATAGCCATTAAAAGAAAAAAAAAAATACCTATGCTTATGACAGTGATTGGATAAACGAGCTAAGAAATCAAATTAGGGTTATGTAAAGAAACATGTAAATGGAGCAGGCATATAATAATGAACTTAGATTTCATAAATAGAAGAAAAAAAAAATCAACAATATGAGTCCAAACCTGTGATGACTTCTCCAACAAAAAATTTCACCTCCTAGCACGCCTCTTTGCCCGCAAATGCTCAGTTTTTCACCGGGACTTTCGGATTTTTCAGAGGACGGATTGTCAGGAGC